GAAAAAGATTCCCTTTCCAGGGCACAGAGTGTTGCCTGAGAACTCCTCAACACAGGGTCCTCCTGCAACGAGCACGCCAAGAGCCGCTCTGGACGCTGACGCTGTGCGTGCACCAGGGCAACCTCCCCCTGACCACGCTGTGACGTGGCAGCCCTCCGCTGACATCACAATAGCAGCCGCTCTAGGTGGGTCTGTGAATTTATGCATAGTAACAGAACCTTCTCTGCAGCTAATGCAAAAGAAAGCCCAGAAAGTTCTCGTCTGTCCCAAAGCAGCACAAACCCTCCTTGCAGTCCAGAACCCATAGCTCAAAGGATCCAAGAGTAACACTAAACAGGCCCCAAGCACATGCACCCTCTCCTTTGGCCACCAGTGCTTCTGACTAAAACAAGTAACACTTGCTTCATTTCTATGGGTGCAATCACGCTTTGGTAATATCCCGGAGAGTCCCCTTAATTGAAATGCTTGTCATGCCTGCCCATTTACTGCATGGCTAACATCGACCAGCACACTGTAGGCTCGCTGAAGGAACAAGGATACCATAGTGGGGAAACAGTGCCAAGTAACAAACTAGCCAGAGGTGTTTGCATGACACTGGAGCAGCATTTGTGTTGTCAGTATGGCAGGGACAGTATGGCAGTGCCCATGTCCTGTGCGTGGCAGGGGATGCCCTTGGAGCAGCCCTCACAGTGTGGGTGCACCCACGGGTGCATTTCCACTCCCACCGGCTCCCAGGTCAGCCCTTCACTTGACAAAGAGCTCTGTCCAGCACGGAGCTTTGCAAAAAGCCACTGCCTTTGGCTTGTGGGAAACCTGCGAGGTCAGATTCCTCCATGGATGTGGCTTGGAAATCTCTCTCCTGCCTGTTATAAATCACGCAATTCTCTGGTTGGTTAAGAAAGTAAAAGTTCTAATGATGTTTGCTTGTTGTGTGTGATTGTACGGCTGTACAGAAACATGTGCTGGCCGCTTTTGAACGCTGGAGTGGGCGATGAGGGTAATGAAGGCAGAACAGAATGGAACCTTCTAGATCCTCATTGGCGGAAGGAACGGACCAATGGAGTGTCGAGTTTCAAAAATGATTGGTGGAGGTTGCACGATCTTAACGACCAATCAACGGACCATATTTAGACCAATCACACTGCGGATTGAAAAACGCACCAATCCCACACTGTGAGAGACTTTCAAACCCCCGGGGTGCCCAGCACCAGGGTCTTCCGAGGGAACTCGAGTCCTGAGGAGCACACAGCCGCGGTGGTATGCAGGCTGTACCAGGTTGCTTGTTAGCCAGTTTGGTGGTGCAGGCTGCTGGGCTTATCCCAGGGCCTCGCCTTCGGCCGTTCTTGGGGTTTTTTAAATAAACAAGTTTACTTTTGAAAGGACAAGTGATCGACCTTGTTTACAACTGTCATAGAGTTACTTTACCTTTAAGGGAGTTGGAGTTGCTGGGAAGTGCTTGGAGTCTTTTCTCCTGACTAATTATCGGTCATTGCTAGGAATTGACAGCAGTTTAGGCCATTGAAAAGTGGGATCAACTTGTGAACCCTACCTTAAAATGTAAAAGCAGAGCTCTCTGGGTTCTCTTTGTTTTCTGGCTGTGGAGGGTGGCAGAGCTCCAGGTCTCCCGTCCCTGCCCAGGCCATGCGGCCGGGCGGGGATGGGGCCGGGCCTGCCCCGTCTCCCGGCCGGGAGATGGGGGGGCCTGGGGAAGGTTTTCTTCGGGCCCGGCCCGGGCCGAGCCGATCTCTGGCTCGGCTGCAGGTTTTGCTGTAACTAATTCACTAGAAACTGCCCAGTGAAAGAAGAGGGAAGCTTTAGACTTGCAGCAGGTTGAAACAGCGACCACACGCTCCAGAGCAGCCATGAAGAACCTTCCATCGCAGACGGCTCCAGCTCCTGTTCGGCAGAGATCCTCGAACCATCTACAAAAGCCTGGGCAAGATGTTAACTCTTTCATTACCCAGATGAGACTTGCAGATTAATCTTTTTATCCAGAGAGAGAGAGAAAGAAAGATCAACATGAAAAGAGAC